TTCACCCAGTCGTTGTAGGTTGTGTGCGGGACCGGCTCAGCTGGGCCCTTATCCCTTGTCCAGAACAGATACATGTTGTGCCAGTTATGGGGGTCGCTGAAATCGAGAGGCGCGTTCGTAACCATGTCATAGTGGTTTGGGGCAAGGTCCCACAACCAGTGCTGCAAGCACAGCAGCCCTCCCACGGGACATTGGTTGTAGTCGATATGACGCGCCTCGTTGTATCTCTGGAGGCCAAACTGGTGGTCAGTCTTCCCACTGCGATTGTTGATTGTCATCACAACCGCATCCTCCACTGGATCAGTATCCGACAGACCACCAAGCCTTGAGAATGTCACATCAAACAGCTGCGCTACACTCGTGGTGCCGGCACGTGCGAGGGTATGATGGCAGAGGATTAGCATCGACTTTGTCATGATTGTGTGGTAAAGCTACGATGAGGGGTATGGATCCCTTTCCTGCCACCATTCCGCTGCGTCCGCCGGCAGGGTGAGCTGCATCGTCGTACGAAACTGGGCAATGGATTAGGTGTTCACGCTCGTCCCCTTGTAGCGGTCTACACGTTCACAGTGGGCATGAAAATACTCGTCAGTAACACCAAGCGTGTAGGAATAAGAAATTGAAGACGCGTGCAATACTTACTCGACGAAACGTTCGAATTGCTCGAGGACCATCTTCCGCTGCATCACGCAGACCTCAATCACCTCTTGCAGGAGGGTTGGGTCATTGAACAGGGCCGCTTTGCCCCTGCACTGGCAGGTCAAGCCCCGTAAGCATGCGAGAAGCATGGGTACCGTCATAGCTATGCGCTTACGAATCGGCAACGCGAAATTGAGGCTTGCAAGCAGTTCTGCCTGCTTCGGAGTCTCGGTCGTGCAGTACGCCATGAACACCTTCAGACGCCATTTTGTGATCCGTGGGCCATGAAGCCAACAGTCTTTCGCGGGCGCAATCTCCCAGTCCTCGCCCCAATCATTGCCGGTGAGGTAGCCCACCTCGTCCGGGTGTTCCATAACGGCGTCTGGCGGGTATTCTCCCGGTGGCAAGTTTTTTATCCTGTGCTTCCACCACCTCTTGAACTCCCTGATGACGGAGAAGTATTGTAGCCTTGATAATGGTGCCAAGCATACCATCACCAGCCGGGCAAACTGGTTTCTCGCGTCCATAGTCTCCTCGGCCTCGAGGGTCGACCAGTCGGCAATGGTTTGGCCTGGTTGCCTGTGCCTTGGTGGATGTGTCCCCTCGTCCCATTCCTCGTCCCTACGCAATTCCTTACGCAGATAGCATTCTTCCTCGGGCGTTACATCATCCTGATCTAGCCGCACAGCACTCAGACTTTCAGCACGTATGGACCCATTACCCGTATGTGCTCCTAGTGGAGGTTGGTCTGGAGGGTTGCCTTGATCCGGGCCCAGCGTGCTGCCCTGACCTCCGTGCTGGTTGGTATGACGCGTATCGTTCGTTGACCCTGTATCGGTGGTCACATGTCCATCTGTTCCCGTTGCACAATCATGTGCGCCCCTCCCACCACGACCACAACCCCTCCCGCTGCGCCCCCCGCGTGCACCTCTGCCCCCGCATGCACCCCTGCCTCTTCCTCTACGTCCGCCGCATCCACCGCGTACCCTGGCCCACAATTCCCATGGAGTGGGCGCGATCTCTTCACGCGAACGGGCTTCTTTATGGCCTTGGGGAATTCTAGGGCATTGGTGGTTGTGGCTGGGTTGGGCCTGGGATGTTCGTCGCATTAGGTGCCCGTTCCCTAAACCCTAAACTCTTAGGCTGTATGGGTTCCGCGCCTAAACTCGCGTGCAATGGATTCGCTGATGTGGTTTGGGCATTGCTGATGCCGGAATCTGTCCTAGGCTGGCTAGGCTGGTTGTGGGAGGATTTTCGCGCGGAAGTGATCGTGTGGGCGGCACGCGTGTGGCTGATATAACTTCGGTGGTGGGAGAGTGGCCGACTGGCGGTACAAAATGCGTGTCAAAAAGCAACAGCGTACTGACGGTGCATGGGCATTTCGAATGGGGGTACGACAACGTTTGGTCGAATGCCTCGAGGCATCACTGTCTCGGATCCAAATAAGCCTTACGTGTAGGTGCCTGAGGGGGGGACGTGCCTGCTGCCATTGAGGGCGGCTGTTCCAGCCGCCTGAAACGCGGTTGTCGTGTCCTGGGGTGCTGCACGCGCGTGGTCTACGCATGCACGTGCTAGCACTGGACGTGGGGGGTGGATACATGGGGCCCGACCAAGGAGTGTGGTGCTGCATTGTATCCGCACGTTCGGCGTGCGCACTCTGGAATCGGTCAAGTCCGTTATCAATGGCGTGAGAATGAGGGGAACCCGTTCTTCGAGTTATTTATGCCACTGCTCATTGTACGCATGGTTCCGCTGGTGGGGCGACGCGCGAGCAAGATAGGTTTCAGAGATCAAGCCTTGCATGTTGTCTAACCGCGTCGGCTTGCCCCTTATTGCGGCACGTGTCGCGTCATACATGCCATGTACTTATGATCCGCATGCATTCCATATGCCCCCATGCGATGGGCTCGCGACCTTCGCATAGTTGTTCGTCATCACCTTTGGGACGTAGATTTTCTGTTCCGCGAAGAGTGCGACACCCTAGGATGTCTCCTTTTCGTGCATGGCGTTACTCCTGGGGATATCTGCGGAATTTATGGGGGAATCCCGTCGAATCACAGGCCTACACGCATCCGGTAACCTGTATTTATTCCCCGATGTTGTCGATTCGATGTTGCCAACTTCGGTTGGTCTACGTACCTGGCCGCCCGTTTTGCGCCCGCGCGCATGCGCCCAACCACCCCCCGTATATATACCTGTTAAATTATATATTATGTTATATAATTGGTAGGCTTGGTAGGTTACGGAACGCTACTGTAGAGGGTACAATCCCCTCCGTGTATCCCTCTCTCTTTCTAATCTATCCTCTTCTCTCTCGTAACTTTCTCTCCTAACTCCAAAGCCCTCATGCCATTCCATGGCTTCCTACCGTTCCTGCTAGCCTAGCTTTCTTAACATGGTAACAAAGCAGATTGCCCTTTCCGGGCCTGCTCCTCAGGCTTCCGCCGCGCACTCCTACTCTCCCTCTCGCGCTGCCATGGCGCCCGTGTCGTGCTGCTGTAGCGGCGTTGTCGTGCCGCTGGCTGCGTCGTGCCGCAGCCGTCTCGACGCGCTGCCGTGGCGTCGACGTCCAGCTGTGGCGTCGCTTCCGCCGCCCATTTCTCTCGTCACTGCCTACCCGCTGTGGCGGCCATGCCGACCTGCCATGGCGGCTTCGTCGTGCGGCCGTCGCATCCTTGACGCCCTGCCGTGGTGGCATTGTCACCTCGCCATGGCAGCGTCGCCTTGCTGCCGTTGCAGCGTCGACGTGGCGTCACAGCATCGACGCCGCGTTGTGGTGGCGGCGTCATGCTGCCGCGGCAGCGTCAATGGGCGGCAGCGGGCAACATGTCGTCGTAACCGCCACCCACCCTCCCTCCCGCCAGTAAGCGCCGCGCCACCCATAGCAAGTCGCTGAAGATTCGCCCCCCCCCCGTCCCCCCCCCCCCCTTCCCCTGCATCTCCTCTTCCTCCTGCCGCAGCTGCTGTCTTCTACCCGGTTGTCGCCTCGCTGTGCCACACCGCCGAGAGCCTTCAGCCATGGCCGTTGCCCGCGCTGCTTCTCGCCGGGGGATGTCACAATGCCAAGCCCGAGGGGTAGATACCTGGCTGATCTCGAGCATGGGAGTGTAAGGGGTTAGGGGGTCTGTGTGTTGGGTGGGCTTGTGACTACCAAGCCTAGGGGGTGTGTTAAATTATATATTGTGTTATATAATTGGTAGGCTTGGTAGGTTACCGAACGCTACTGTAGATGGTACAATCCCCTCCCTGTATCCCTCTCTTTCTAATATATCCTCTTCTCTCTCGTAACTTTCTCTCCTAGCTCCAAAACCCTCACGCCATTCCACGGCTTCCTACCGTTGCTACTAGCCTAGCTTTCTTAACAATACCCTACAATAAATCACACGACTTTCTGGTTCCTAGTCTGCAATACTTCAGCCCGCCCTTGTGTGGAACCCCCTGACGCCATATGCCAACAACTTGCCACGGATACAAGGCTGTTTAAACACTGTACACCCTGAGGGGCGGCGCACAATTTGTGTTTGATTTTTTTTCGGGCCGAGTTGAAATTCGCCGTTCGACAAATCCCGAAAACATTAGTATTTACGGAACAGTATCGCGAGGTCGACCGAATTGGCCCAAACGACCACTTGTGCAATCGCCCAGCTATAAGGGTCGACGGTTTTGATCCAGGTAAAATTCTAGACGAAGCGCGCAATTTCGCCCACAAGTGTGCTGGTTCTGGTTCACACCCCTGTACAGGGTAATTTTTTTCAAGAGACTACGCTAGAGTTGTATGAATCCCTATGCTGGGCTCTTTCACTGGTTTGTTGATGTGATTACGAATTTTAAATGACGTACAATATATGGGGTAAAGGGAACTCACCACCAAATCATGTCTCCCGCCCATGGCTCGATGTGGGCCAGTGGTTTCCTTCGGTCTGCTTGCCCCAGCAAGCTACGGCATCCTCCTCATCACGGCGGCGTTGAACTGTGTGAGGGGTTGGTTCTGGAAAACCTCCACGCTTACGGGCTTTCCGTAAAAATCACCCGAGGAATTCATACAGTTCGGTAGACCCCCCAGAGTTCCTGAGGGGTCTACTGATCCCTATATATACACAAAAAATTTCCGGTCCCCAGTGTTTCCCACCGCACGCCTTAGACCGCAAGCTTGAGGAATTCAAATTTCCTTCCAATTGTAGAAGCAACAGGGACGGCAATTTAGGACCATCACAAATTTCGAGTTACAGTCCTGTACTTTACTGTACAGTACTGCAGGGACCCTCCCCTTCCCGCCCTGTCATCAGTCAACCAACATCCAGCCACTCTCTCACCCCTCAAGGATTCCATCCTTCACTTACGGCAACAGAACAGACTCTCACAAGCGACGCTCGTTTTTTTTGTTTTTCTCCAAATTCTGCTTGGGGTTGCTTTGAGCCATGGCGTCTCGTTCTCCACATTCTGCCTATTGATATGCTTCCACTCACAAGTTCAACGATCTCTTCTCCGCCTTTTTAAGAATCACAGGAGCAAGCATTCAAGGGTCGCTTCGAGTTAGTCATCTGAGCCATAGGTTTCATTGTGACCGGCACCCGTTAGAGGGTGAGCCATGGCTACGATGGAGGTGGCGGGGTGGGAGGACAAGGACGCGCTGCTGGACAGCGCGTGGATGGACGCCGCCAGCAAGGACGACGAGCCCGACGACGACGGACCCAACCCTGACGACTTCCGTCGCTCTCGCACGTTTACGTCCTCCATCCTCTCCCGGATCACCGCATCAACTCCAGGGAGAGGCGAGTCGAGCAGAGTGACTCCGCGTGGCGACGGCAAGGCAGCGCCTGGCGGCAGCAGCGGCAAGGACGGCCCGAAGCCCCCCAAGTGGCTCAACTTCCGCGGCTCCGCGAGCAAGGCACCCGACGACAGCAGCAAGGCGACTGCCACTCCAACTGCCAACCGCTCGGCAAGCTCGAGATCGTCCGACGCAAATTGGTCCGACAAGCATTCGCCATCAGCAGACACGTCAGCGGCTGACGAGCCGTCGATGGACGATCTTCGGCGATCCATTACGGTGTCCGCCGTCGACCGAAGCTCGCTGCGCCGCCAGCACAAGGAGATGGGCACCCTGCGCGCCAATGCCGAGGTCGCCCAGAGGAAGACCAGCGCGCAGGGCGGCAGAAGCAGCACCTCCGCCAGCGACGGCAGCGGCTTGGATGCGCAAGGTGCTCAAACTAACCCGGGAACCGCGGGCGGGCTTGCGCGAACGCGATCCGGCGGAAGCGCGACGTCGGTGGTGTCGCGGCCTCCCGCCCCCGTGCCGGCCGCCAAGGTCGCGTTCTTCTCGTTCAACAAGCACCGCGAGGCCGTCGCGGGCGCGGAACACGCGGAGCAGCTGTCGCTCTCCGCGGATGAACGGAGGGCGCGCGGACAAGCGGGGGAAGGTGTCCCGCAGAGAGTCTACGGCCGGCGGGCGCAGAGCATTGGCGGAACGGCAGGGGAGCTGCGCGGAAGAGGGGGGATTCCGGATGCCGGGAGGCCCGCATCGGGAGGCCCGGTGCGGGCGAGCTTGGGCAGGTGAGTGAGAAAGAGTGGGATGTGATGGAAGGGCTGGCGGCATGCGACATGGGTAGAGGGTTAACTGGTGCAGGGTGCAGGGTGCAGGGTGAAGGCATGCATCAAGTGAATGATGCGTGGTTAGCTGATAACGATTCACGTCTGTCGATGCCTCTTTCTCGGTGGCTGAATGTGTCATCGAAAGACGTCGCATAAGCGTGAACCAGCTGCTTCATACCAAAACACACTACTCGCGTCTACGGTTAGGTACGTCGAAGGATGTTTTTGGGATGAATGCGGCGGTTTCTAACGCCTTCATTTGGTTTGAGCGTTGTCTAGACTTCTAGTGTGCTGCAGGCTACTCGGCGTGCTTTGCGCGCGCCCCTCTCCCTCTCCCTCGCACATCTGCCCGCTTTCTTCCGTTCCTTGCCGTCCCCACTCCCCTCCTCCACCCAGAAGTCGCAGTGTGGGCAACGGTCAAAGCGACGCGGGCGGCCATGGCCTCTCGCCCCTGCACCCGTCAGCCAGTCGCCCCTCCCCTCACCCCGACCGCTCCGCCTCCCCGCAGCTCATGCGCCGCCCGCGTGGCCACTCCTCCTCCTCCTCCCTGCTGCCCCCCCACGCGCGCACTGCCACCCCTCCCCGCGCGCCCGACCCAGGCGACCGCCCAGGCTCGGCCCTGTCCGACCGCTCAGCCTCGGGTTCGTCCGAACGTGCAGGTTCGGAGAGAGCCAGAGGTCAGGTTGACAGACGCAGGAGCGGCGTGTCTGGACGGAAGGAGGAAGGAGGGCTGGCAGGAGGTGCGGAACGAATGGGGTCGCCTCTTAGTGGAAGAAGAGGAGGTGCTTCTAGCGGGTACGGAAGTGAGGACGGGCCAGGGAGTGTTGGAAGCGCGGGGTATGTGGGAGGCAAAGGGGAAGGGGAGCACCAGCAGCACCAGCAGTACCAGCAGCAGGGTAGGGGACGCGGGATGGGTGGTGGGGGAGGGGTGCAAGGGGGAAGGCATGGGCGGCAGAAGTCAAGCAGCAGCAGCGGAGGGAGCGAGGGGGGGGGTGCGCGGAAGGGGGGGAAGAGCGGAGATGGTAGCCTAGAAGGGGTAGCGAGTGGCGGAAGAGTGGGCAAGGGAGGCATGGCGGGGAGGGGAGCAGCGGGAGCAGGTGGGGGGTTCGCTGCGAGTGGAGGGAGAGGAGGGGCGGAAGGGCGTGGGTGTGGGTACGGCAGCGAAGGTGGGGGCGGTGAAGAGGGATATGGGGAGGGGGGAGTGTGGGAGGAGGAGTTCAGCAGCGAGGAGGAGGCAGGGGACGAGGAGGAAGACCGCGGCAGCAGTGGTGTGAGCCGGCAGCAGGAGCAGCAGCAGCAAAGGCAGGGGCAGCACGGTGTGGCAAACATGGCAGGCGGGCATCAGAAGGGCTTCCACGCACAGGCGGAGATGGGAGGGCCCAGAGGGGGGTATGCTGAGGGGTATGCTGAGGGTTATGTGGATGATGGGGCGAGGTATGCGGGCGAGCAAGGGGAGGGAGGGGAGGTGGAGGAGGAGGAGCAAGAGGGAGGGGATGACTTGTATGGCGGAGGCAGGGGGGAGGAGGCGGGGGGGTACGAGCAGGCAGAGGTGTGTGATGAGGGCACGTACGCGGAGCAGGGGTATGTGGGCGGGCAGGGGTATGACGAGCAGGGCTACAGCAGTCAAGATTACAGCAGCCAGAGCGGGCAACAGGGTTACCAGGCATCGTACTCGGAGCAAGGACGTGGCAACCAGGCGTATGGAAACCAAGGGTACAGGGGCGAGGGCCACAGCCAGTACAGCGAGCAGGAGTATGAGGAACAGGGGTATGCACAGCAGGCGTATAATGAGCAAGGGTATAACGAGCAGGGATATAACGAGCAGGGGTATAACGAGCAGGGGTATCACGAGCAGGGGTATATGGGGGAAGGGTACGAGGGTCAGGGTTATGGGGAGCAGAGACACCAGGAGCAAGGGTATGAGGGGCAGGGGTATGGGGAGCAAGCGTATGGGGAGCAAGCGTATGGGGAGCAGGCGTATGGGGAGCAGGGATATGGTGAGCAGGGGTATGAGGGTCAGGGATATGGTGAGGACCAGGGGTACAGTGAAGCATCAAGAGGGCACTATCCTGTGCCGATGCAACCTGCTCACAATCAGTACCAGCAGCCACAGCAGCATTTGTACCATGGCCACCAGCAGCAGCAGCAGCAGCAGCCACAACCACCAAAGGGTGGTACTCGTTCCTTGAGAAGGGGGTCCGGAGCAGCAGCAGCAGAAGGAGCACAAGGGGGTGTGGGGGGCATGGCGTGCGGTGCTGGCAGAGGGAGGGGGGGCAAGCAGCCGTCCGTGGAGTCGCAGCAGCACCCGCCTGCAGGCATTCGCCTCGCGCCAGGTGGAGGGGCCAGGGCTGCTGGCGCCGCGCGGAGCCGTGGGGGTGGCGGGTACTGAGGTGACTGCGGGGTGTGGAGCAGAGGGGTGTGAGGGGCAGATTGGAGTATGGAGGGGAAGAAGGAAGGGGTGGGAGGGTGCAAGGGAACTGGGGTTTCTGTTGCGGTTGCTCAGGTGTGCGGCTCAGTCAATGTCGGGTGGGCCTGCATTTGACAGCAGTTGTAGGGTTCTCTTGCTGTGTTCCTCCTACCGTTCATGCTGTGCTGTTGCTAAGTTTGGGTGGCTCTCTGGTTTGAGCTGCTCTACTGATCACCAGGATTCGAGGCTGTTCGTAACTAGTAAAACGCCTGATAATAAAGGCATACCGTATATCGTATAGGTATTCAAGGGTGTATCAAATGGTTGGATCGCAGGCACACCACATTCCTGCAAGCATAATCCGCACCATCCAGCTCCCACAGCCCCGCCTCCTCCATCCCATCTGCTGCCTCCTCCGCCGTGCGCCCCCTCCCCCCCGCCACCATCCACGCGCCCTGCGTCAGCCGCTGCGAGTCAAGCGAGGAGTTCACCTCAGCCGGTGCCACGTAGCACGGCAGCCCCACCCTCCACACATTCACACCCAGGCCAAGCTTCCTCGCTGCTTCCTCCAGCGCCGCCCACCTGGCATCACTATTGCCAGCCAGCCACACGGTGCGCAGCACGTCCCAGGAGCTGGCCTCGTGCGGGTCGCTCCTGCCACCGTCGCCGCCGTCGCTGGAATCACTGGGAGCACCCCACAGCAGGTGGGCGAGCAGGGAGAGGAGGGCGGAGCGAGCAGCAGGAGAGGGGGGGAGGAGGAAGACGTCGGAGAGGGGTGAGTCACCAACCGCCACTGCCAAGCCATCCGCTGCTGCATGCTGCTGCTCATGTGGACTGTACACCGCCCACTGCATTCCCCCTTGCTGCTCGCCCTGCCCCTCTTGCTGCTCCCCCTGCTGCAGGTGCAGCAGGCGCTGTGAGACGCAGAGGAAGGGGTCGCCCCGCCAGGTGACAGTGGGGGACGCGAGCAGCAGAGGCACGCGCAGCACAGAGGAGAGGTTTAAGGCGAGGTGGAGGTGGGTGGGGGAGGGGAAGAGGGGGGGTGGGGGAGAGAGGGAGAGATGGAGGAAGGAGAGGGGGAGGAGGGGGAGGAGGGGAGAAGCGAGACGAGGTGGCCCCGAGTGGCGAGGTCGAGGGCATGGCAGGCGGAGGAGGTGACGAAGGCGAAGTGCGAGAGGCCCAAGCCGTCCACGTGGCACGCCCAGTTGCGCGCCAGCTGGAGCGAGGCGGGGGGGGCAGGGGCGTCGATGTCCAGCAGGGAGGCCTGCGTGCCTGCAGCTGCGTGCGCGCACGTGGTGGAGTGGGTGGCGTCAGGCGCTTGGACGTCCGGAAGAAAGATGAGCGCGAAGTGAGAGACCTGTGATGGGAAGTAGGAGATGAGACGAAACGGAAAGGTGTGCACCGGATTGGGATTTTAGGTGTGAAACCGCGAACACGAATGGAGAAGAAGAAAGGCGTATTCAAGCTCTCCAGCATCCACGCCCCTGGCTCACCCCCTTGGCAGTGTGCACGGCTCGCTGCAGATCCTCCACACCTGTCACCAGGGATGCATACGTGGCATCAGCCGCCCCTGCTGCTGACTCAGCATCCGCACTTTCTGACTCAATGCCTGCTACTGCACGCATCTCATCTGCTCCACTTTGCGCTGACCCATTATGGCCACTTGCTGACTCAGCATCCTCATCTCCCCCACCATTCCCCCCACCAACGCCAAGCCACCCCCCTCTCTGGCAATGTCCGCCCTCCTTCCCCCCTGTCCCCCACGCCCACGCAGTGCCCCCTCGCCCCACCCAGGGCAGGGGTCGCAGGCAGTAGTCGAAGCGCGGCAGGCAGGACAGCGGGGGCAGCTCCGTCCACCACCACGGCAGGGGCTCTGCTGTGCTCAGGGGATCTGATGCCGTCAGGTGCTCTGTTGCCGTCAGGTGCTCTGTTGCCGTCAGGTGCTCTATCGGGTGCTCTGTTGCGTTCAGGTGGTGTGCCCCCCTGAGGTGCTGCGGCATGAGCAGCATGGCATCGGCGCCCTTGGAGCGCGTGAAGCTCTCCCCCACGTCGCGGTGGCTCACGCTCAGCGCCAGGCCCCCCGGCAGCGACGCGTACAGGTTGAGCATGGCGGCGCTGTGCGCCCACCGCACGATCCACGGCGTCCAGATGCCGTTGCCCTGGGGGGGGGGGGGGGGGGTGGGGTTTGGAGAGAAAGCGGGAGATGGGAGTAGCTGGCAGGGGAGGAGAGAGGGGGGATGGCGAGTACAAGGCACAATCAACCATTGCCCACCCAGGGCGTTACTCACCCGCCCCTTCCAGAAGCCCGTGGTGCGCAGCCCCCCGATGAGCGGGTCCCTGCCGGGCGTGTAGCGGTGGCTGTCGTACCACACGCGGAATGCGCGCCAGGGGGCGGGCAGCAGCAGCTGCCCCCACGTGCCCACCAGCGCGTACAGGAATGGCCGCCCCACGTGCGCTATGGGGGGGGCCGGTTGCCCCGGTACCAGGCGCTGGCGCTGCAGGGAGATGCCGTACACCTTAGAGTCGTACTCGGTATCGTTGTAGTAGTAGCGCAGCAGCATGCGCTTGAGGTAAGAGTAGAAGAGCGGCGACACCTCCACGTCGTCCTCCACCACAAAGGCAAACTCGTTGTTGCCATTGGGCCACCACGCCTCCATCCACTGCGGCTGCACGCCGCCATTCACGCTCCTCACGCGCACCTGCTTGCTGCCATGCGCCCATGCAAACGAGTCCGCCACTGCCAGCACCGACCGGAACTTGCGCCGCTTGCCTGCCACCTCCCCCGCCGCACGCCTCTCCACCACCCCCACCACGGGCCGCACCTCCCCCAGCTGCCGCCTGCCCGCCTTGCCTGCACGCAGCTGCTGCTGCCACGAGGCATCCTCACCTGCCCGCCTCTCCACCGCTCCCGCCAGGCCCGCCCCTCCCACCAGCCGCCACCTGCCCCCTCCCGCCACTCCCCCCAGTGCCCCTTCTCCCCATCCCCTCACCCGCTGCGCCCAGCGCCTGCCGCGCTGCCGCCAGTTGGACATGTCGCCCGCCTCCTCCACGCCATGCCCGCCGCGCCCCCAACCACCACCACCACCAGTGGTGGGTGCAGCGAATCCGCGCATCGCCGCGCCGGGCAGCTGCTGGCTTGCCGCGAGCACAAGGCTCTGCGCGCCGTCGCTCCCAAGGCCCTGCTCGCCCGCTACCCCCACGCGGCCCTTGCGCCTGGCTTTGATCTGCAGCGGGTCGTTCAGCTGCAAGCCCGCGAACGGGTGGTCCACGTGGATGTCCAGTGACACGTCATCGCCGCCGTAATGTGCCGCCCGCAATGATTGCAAGCAGCGCGCCAGGCTCTTGGCGCGGTCGAACGTGAGCACCACAAGCCGCACGTGCAGCAGCGCCGCGTCGCGCGCCATGCGGTCCCCCTCGCGGCTGCCCCAACGGCGTCGCCTGCCCTGCCGGTCCTTGCTGCCGCCGCCGCTGCTTGCGTCCGCACTGCGGGCGCTTTGGTCAGTGCTTCTCCCATCTCCACCGTCGATCGCGGAGGCCAGAGCTGATCTGTGCGGTGCTGATGGCCCCGAGAGACGGCTGCAAAGGTGCTTGACGAATGGAGAGGAAAATGCGGAATAGGCGCTCAGTGCGACGCACACGAGGATGATTGCAGCGAGTCCGACCGCCGCGCGAGGCAAGAAGGTGGACCGTCTGTGAACTCCCGCGGCTGGCGCTTGCGACTCGCCCACTGCCGCTGCTGACGTGGCGCGCAGTCGATCCTTGACGTCGTTATCTGGTATGCCACGTGGCGGAGAGTCCACCCTCTGGCCGTGAGGGTGGCGCTGGCGCCACATGGCGATCGAACGGCGTGCGGCGCTGCTACGGCGCTACCAGCCGTGCCTTGGACCGCGGGGAAAATCCACCTGTACCGCCGACGGCCGAACCCGAAGACCGCACGACGAGACTTCCATGCGGCGGCCGCCCGTTGACGACGGCGGATATGGCGGCGGGCATGGCGCGCTCTCAACTCCCGTTGTGGGTGAATCAAGGGAAGCCACGGCCATGGGCCCCTGCTCAAAATGTATTCGATATGAAATTCGTCGAGTTTCTGTATCGATCCTATTGTTGGGACAAAGCTACACGCATTCAGCATAGCGCTTCAGTTTATGAATGACAACAAATGCCCTCCTCTTTTCGCCACTCCTCTGCTTCTCCGTTCCTTCCACGTTGCCTCCTCGTCTTACGTGGCTCACTTCCAACCATTGGTTCCCCCAAATGGTTCCCTTTTGAAGCAGCCTCGTTAGCACCACGCCACACCCCGTGAAGGCCTTGACTTCGGCAGTCTCTCTGCCCAACGCATACCCCGCCACACCTCGTTTCTCTAGCTTTGCGCAGCCCCGCCATGGCCGCAACCAGCGCAGCCGCAGCGTCAGCCCTCGCGTCGTCAGCGTCACGTCCGCACCTCGCGGACCTCCGCACTGCGGGCCATTCCGTAGCTGCTGCCGCGCCATGCTCCCTCTCGCTTAGATCGCCGTCGGATCGCCTCAATGCTGCGAGTGCTTTAGTCGCCCGCGACGTCGCACAGGTCGCTAGGCGATCCGCCCGTCGAGCGACGTGGATCGCCTCCGTGAATGGCGGGCCGGGCGGCCCCACGTATAGTGACGGCAACGAGAGCGACGAGGCTGATGACGTGGCAGTCAGCGACGAGTCGGTACCGGATGACATTCTCGAAACGCTCGCCCAATCCGCTGCTGCCACGCAAGCAGCAGCCGCCATTGCGCACGCTGCAAACGCGGCCGGGGGCGGAGACTCCGCGGAAGAAGCGGCGGCCTTTGCGGCGTCAGAGGCGGCGGAGGCGGCGGCGCGCGCGCAGCAGCGGCAGTTGCGCGACCTGAAGCTGTGCCTGATCGACTCCCTCTACGGCACGGAGCGCGGGTTCCGCGCGAGCGGGGAGACGCGCGCGGAGGTGGCGGAGCTGGTGGCGCAACTGGAAGCCGCCAACCCCACGGAGGCGCCCACCGAATCGCCCGCACTCGACGGCAACTGGGTGCTCGTGTGAGACCCTCGGCGCAGCGCCTGCCCTCCCCTCCCCGCATCCGCTGTTTCCCACTCGCTGCCGCTGCTCTCGTTTGCAGCGCGCGCCCCCACCCGTCGGTGCAGCGGCGTGCCGCCGTCCATCCCAGGGAAAGCGCCGTCGCACGCGGCCAGTCCTTCTCCTTCACCTCCCTCACGCCCCCCTCCCTCCCTCTCTCTCTCCCCCCCCCAGCTACACCTTCTCGGAGCTGCTGCCGTTGCTGGCGGCGGGGCAGGTGCCCTTGGTGCGGGTGGGCGCCATCACGCAGAGCGTGGACCTGGCGGCGGGCGCCGTCAGCAACGCCATTAGCTTCGAGGGGCCGCTGACGGCCAGCACCATCCGCGTGGACGCCAAGGCGGAAGTCAGAAGTGGCAAGCGCCTGCAGGTGAGCGGGTCACTCGAGCACAAGGGGAGATGGTAGACGCGTGAAAAGCCCTTCTGGCGCACTCGCTACTGGGCCACCTCTGTCTCCCTCTCACCCTCTTCTCCTGCTCTCCCTCGTCTCTCCCCTCCTCTTCCCCCCCCCCCCGGCCAGGTGAAGTTCGAGCAGGTGACCTTCTCCTCGCCGCAGCCGCTGGACGGCGCCTCCTCCGCCCCCCTGGCGCCCATCGTGCTGTTCGGGCAGACCATCGACCTCGCGCCCTTGGCCGCCGCGCTGCAACCGCTGCAGCAGGCGGCGCTGGAGGTGGCCAAGGTGGTGTCGGGCGCACCGCCGCTGGCGCTGCCCATCGACGGGGAGAGGGCGTCCGGATGGCAGCTCATCACCTACTTGGACGACGACTTCCGGATCGCGAGGGGCGATGCGGGGTCGCTGTTCGTGCTGGTGAGGGAGGGCAGCGACCTGCTGGAGTGATGGCAGGCGAGGGGGGTGATGCCATGGCCTCAATCACCCCGTGCTCACGAGTTATGATCTCAAGACTCCACACTGCTCAGCTGTTAAGAGTAAGGAAGACCAGCAAAGGCTGGTTCATTGTTCGGATCGTGTATTGAGAAATTAGTGGTGCATTCCAAGGTGCCCAATTAAAGACTTGTGGCAGCAGTGTGCTACTTGCTACATGACCAACAGAGCAAAAGGCGAATGCCCGCGATCGACAACAGGAAGGGAGCAACTTTCGACAATAAGAGAGCCTATCTGATCAAATTGCTACACAAACAGAAGCAGCAACTCGAGGGCGGCAGCAGGAGGTGAAGGCCGTGGGTCACAACAACTCGAAGACACGGGCAGTTTGGTCATCGGAGCCTGTCACAGCGAATGCTCCGTCTCTGCATGGCGGGCGGCAGGACAGGCGCGGCACAGGGGGGATCATACAGGCCGTGCAGTGAGAAGAGGATGCCTGATGAATACGCAAAGAAGTCAGAAAAATATATCAGCAGGTGAGAGCGAGAAAAGAAGAGGCCTTACGGCGTGAGGGCGAGGGAGAGCACGGCGTCTCGGTTCCCTCGGAGGGTCTTCTGGATGTCCCCCGTGCGCGCATCCCACACATGCAGTGCGCCGTCAGCCGTTGCCGTCACGAGCAGCGGCGCTGCTGGTGCCCATGCCATCTGCACCACCCCATCCTGGCAGGTGAAACGGGCATGGGAGGGGAGGGGAGGGGAGGGGAGGGGAGGGGAGGGGAGGGGAGAAGAAGTGGGGATGAGGCAGCATGGAACGGAATGCCATGCGTGAGGGGGGGGAGGAGGCAAGGGGGGCTAGGCCATGTGATGTGGGTGCGAGTGCCACCGGTTCAGGGCAGTGGGTGCAAGCATGAACGCTGATATGACATGTGATTCACCTGGTGCGTGCATGTGATTCACCTGGTGCGTGCATGTGATTCACCTGGTGCGTGCATGTGGATCACCTGGTGCGTGCATGTGGATCACCTGGTGCGTGCATGTGGATCACCTGGTGCGTGCATGTGGATCACCTGGTGCGTGCATGTGGATCACCTGGTGCGTGCATGTGGATCACCTGGTGCGTGCATGTGGATCACCTGGTGTGTGCATGTGGATCACCTGGTGCGTGCTGTGGATCACCTGGTGTGTGCATGTGGATCGGAGCTGCAGCGAGTTGATGTCGAAGATGCGCACAGTGCCATCCAGTGACGCCGTCGCCACCGTCGGCCCCCTGCCATGCCACGCACACATGCCGTGCCACGCACACATGCCATGCCACGCACACATGCCATGCCACGCACGCAAGCCATGCCACGCACACATGCCATGCCACGCACACATGCCATGCCACGCACACATGCCATGCCACGCACGCAAGCCATGCATGCATGCAGGGAGAGGGAGAGCGAGGAGTGAGCATGAAGCAGCTTCACGTTGGGCAGAGCTGTTTCACTGCCTCGCAGCCATACTGTGGGCTGCAACCTGCTGTGGCTGCTGGCAGCTCAAGGTGCAGCGGCTATGCGAGTGAGCCCTGAGATGACATTTCACAAGAGGAACCGGTGTGAGGGAGGGCAGGTGAAGCAGCGGCTTACAGGGGGTTGAAGACGACGGCCTCCACCGAGTCCATGTGGCCCGTCAGCTTCCCCAGCACCTGCATCCCCCACCACATGGCATGCGCACCGCCATCGTCAAGATTCTTACTGTAGAGAAGCAATGCCCCTGAAGGCTACTTGTACCAAACGGACTGGCAGAAAAGCGAAACGAAATGCGAGAGAAGCAAAGCAAGATTAGTGTGAAAGCTGCAGTTTGTGGCGAAAGAAGGGGCAGCCCAAGGCGAGCAGCCCAAGGCGAGCAGCACAAGGCGAGCAGCACAAGGCGAGCAGCACAAGGCGAGCAGCACAAGGCGAGCAGCACAAGGCGAGCAGCATCGTGTAGCTCCGCGGAGAGAAAGAGGGCAGTGCGCACGCCCCACCCCACCTTGGGCTGCTGCAGGCCGAAGAGCGCTGCGCTGTGGTCCGACGATCCAGCCGCGCCCACGGAGCCCTGCGGTGCCATGGCCAGGCACGTGATGGCGTCAGTGTGGAACAAGGGGCCTGGGAGGGGCGGGGGGGGGAAGGGAGAAAGGAGTGGGAAGGTTGATTTGGGGGATGGGTTGGCGGGTGATGGTGAAAGTAAGGAGGGTGATGGTGAAAGTGAGGAGGGTGATGGTGAAAGTGAGGAGGGTGATGGTGAAATTGAGGAGGGTGATGGTGAAAGTGAGGAGGGTGATGGTGGGGTGGGTTGACATGAGGCGCATGGAAGCGCGGATGAGAGAGTGGAAGCACCCATGAAGGGCTGGAGAATGTCGGCATGCCGCATGGCGCTGCACCTGCGAGTGTGGCGGTGGTGGCGGCCGTCCTGGGGTCCCAGCAGCGCACCGACCCGTCAGTGGACCCTGTCCACACCGCCCGGCCTGGCAGGGAGGAGGACGGAAATGGGCGGGGGGAGGAGGTGGAAGAAGTGGGTGGAGAGTATAAAGGGTATAACGTGTATTCTTCTCCCAAAAAATAGCACATGCATCAGCGTACACAAAGAGAGAGGCAATGCAGGGAGCGAGCGCCCACCATCCGGGGAGAAGGCCCCGCAGGTGACCCCCGCACTGTGGCCGGTGAAGACAGCCATGCACGCGCCTGTCTCCGCATTCCACATCCACGCCGTCAGGTCCTCCGACCCCGCCAGTACCACCGCGCCACGTGGATGCCACGTCAGGAACTGAGTGGGGAAGGGGAAGGCAGCGAATTAGGGGAAGCAAGAGATGGTGAGGAATCAATGTCGGGCGGCACGAGAGAGGAAGGTGAGAGAGAGAGAGTGTCCCTGCCACGCCCAGCAGCAACGCCCAGCAGCAACGCCCAGCAGCAACGCCCAGCAGCAACGCCCAGCAGCAACGCCCAGCAGCAACGCCCAGCAGCAACGCCCAGCAGCAACGCCCAGCAGCAACGCCCAGCAGCAACGCCCAGCAGCAACGCCCAGCAGCAACGCCCAGCAGCAACGCCCAGCAGCAACGCCCAGCAGCAACGCCCAGCAGCAACGCCCAGCAGCAACGCCCAGCAGCAACGCCCAGCAGCAACGCCCAGCAGCAACGCCCAGCAGCAACGCCCAGCAGCAACGCCCAGCAGCAACGCCCAGCAGCAACGCCCAGCAGCAACGCCCAGCAGCAACGCCCAGCAGCAACGCCCAGCAGCAACGCCCAGCAGCAACGCCCAGCAGCAACGCCCAGCAGCAACGCCCAGCAGCAACGCCCAGCAGCAACGCCCAGCGCTCCACCCCATCCACAGGCCCATGCGCACCTCGATCCCTTCCCCCGGCCCCTCGAGGCGGTGCCTCCTCTCCCCCGTGTTGGCGTCCCACACCATAACCACCCCGTCCAGCCCCGCTGTCGCCACCCACCGCCCGTCCCCGCTGAACTCCACCGACGCTATGCTGTCCACGTGGCCTGGGGGGGGGGGAGAGAGAGGAGGGGGGAGGTAGAAGAGGGGGGGATGTGAAGGCAGGCATCACATGGCATGGCAGCCGGCAGTGCAAGGGACCTGATCTCGTGGCGCCCTGCTCCTCCACTCACACAAGCCTTGCGAAACACGGCTGCATCGACCCTTTACCCTCACAGCGCCAGCACCCCACCTGACAGCTTGATGGGGTCCTCAGCTTGCCCTATGGTCCACAGGTACGCCACCTCGTCCCCGCCGCCCGACGCCACTCTGCCGCCCGGCAGAGGGCTGCACGCCACCGCGTACACACTGTCTGGTGGAAGGGGGGGGGTGGGTGGGTTGGGGGTTGAGGGGTTATACGTGCACAAACTCTGTAATGTGGTATGGTGGTGGTATGGTGGCATGGTGGCATGGTGGCATGGTGGAGAGAGAGCGGAGAGGCAAAGCAGTTTGAGAGCAGTGAGAAGGAGATGATGGGCAGTTGGAAAGGCAGTGAGCAGTGCTGACTGACCTGTGTGCGCCGTGAAGACGTGAACCGAATCGTCATGCCCTCCCTCGTCCCCCTCCCCTTCCTCCTCCTGCCCTGCACCAACCCATCCCTCCGCACACACCGTTAGCAATGCGCACCTCATGGCCAAGCATGCAACAAGGCATGGCACGAGACAGCCGCTGCTGGCAGCGCCATGGGATGAGCACGAGATGAGGAATGGCCGATGGGCATGCGATGAGGAATGGCCGATGGGCATGCGATGAGGAATGGCCGATGGGCAGTGCGTGTAACGCACAGTGCTGCAGTGAAAGATGCCATCACCATGCTCCCATCCCCACATGCCATCACCATGCTCCCATCCCCACATGCCATCACCATGCTCCCATCCCCACATGCCACCCCTAGTTCTTCATCCATGCCTCTCCCCCCTTCCCCACCCCTACCCCTCCCTACCCATGCCATGCCCCTCCCTCCCCATTTCGCCCCCACCCTACCCATGCCATCGTCTGCCAGCTCAGCAGGGGCATCGTCCTCGTCATCAAAGTCAGCCGCGATGACGTCATCATCTGAAGGGAACCGAGGGGGCAGCGACAACAGCAGGTGGCGGAAGGGGGATTGACCAGGCGAGGGGAGAAGGAAAGATTAAGTGGGAGTTCGGATGGGAAGGGGAGAGGGGTGAGGAGAGAAGGCAAGCAAGGCTGGCTCCCACACCTCTGCATGTGACCCAGGCCAGCGCAGCAAGACTCATCGGATTCTTGCTGTGCCACCGGGCCTAGGCCTTTGCGTGCCACCGCGCAAAGCACCGTAAACCACGTAAACCCCCGACCCCCTAAACCCCGAATCCCCGACCTTCAGCCCCAAACCTCGGAGATGGGTGACCCCCAACCGCTAACCCCTGAACGCCGCCCCTGAAACCTGATGAGCCCCAATCCCCCCTACTGCCGCACCCCCCCCTTCCGCCGTCCATCGCCACCAGCTCCTCGCCCCCGCGCCCCTCCTCCCCCCCGAGCTTCCCACATGTACTCCCCAACTGCTATCCCCTGAACCCCCCCTCGAAACCCCAACCCCAATTCCGCCTACTGCGCCATTCCCCCACCTCCGCTGTCGATCTCCACCAGCTCGTCGTCCCCCTCGTCCCCCTCGCCCCCCTCGCCCATCTCCAGGAACTCCTCCTCCCCGCGCCCCTCCTCCCCCTCCCCCTCGCGCCCTCCCCCGCTCATGCCGTTGGGCGGCCGCGACTACACAGGGGTTGCGGGGGAGAGGGATGATGGGAATGGGGGGAAGCAAGGAAGGAAGCAGAGGCGCGTGGCGGACGGGCGGAGAGCTGGTCTGGGAGGTGGATGACGAGGAGATATGACAAAGGCTGAATGGACGAATAAGAACTGGAGTTAAAACGCGAGGCACCACGCAGTAGCGGGCTGCGAGGCTGCGTCGGATGGCGCGGAGGGCAGACAGGTGACTGGGGGCGACGTGACGTCACGTGTGGGGCTGACCATGCGGAAGTCCAGAGGGCGGCAGGGCAGCTCTCGTTCGGCAGGCGGGCCTGGTGCGGCTGCTGGCGACGAGCGGGTGGGTGGGAGAGGCGGGTGGACTGGGGGCCGTGCGGATGCGGAGCGGCGTGGATGACGCGGCAGGCGATGCTACGAGAGCAGCGCGCAAGGCAGTGGTGGCGCCGCTGCGCGTGGCGGTAAGGCGAGACGATGACGTCGCGAACAAGGCGCGAAACAAACGGCGATTCTAGTCTAGAGGACGCGGAGCAAGACGAAACGGCATTGTCAGCAGCAGTGGCTTGGCCTTGTCCATGCTTGCTTGCTATGGTGGTCAAATATTCGTGAAGGGCGTGTTCAGTGGACAAGAAACAGCTCACACGCACAAATCCTAGCCCCCGCCCATGTGCCACTTTCGCAAATGCCTCATGTGAACAATGCCTTATTCCGCGAATTTAGATACACATGATGGTGGAAAACACGATTTCTCACAAAAAAGTCAGAGAAAAAGCATTCGAAATTTATAATATAATCATGTTTGCTAGTTATGCTCATTCCATTTTATTCCTAACATTTGAATTGCATCCACCGTAGCCGAATAAGCAGAAGCCACGTGTGTAATGTACGGCTGGAACCTGGTTGTTTTGACCACCCCCTCGAAACCTCAGGGTAACCACATACGATTCTAATGCCCCCGAGAGTTCCGTCATACTTCGCCGAGTATCCCACGTACAAACTCCTCAGTGGCCACCCCCCTCGAGTATTCTACGTACTGCGCCTAATCCACTGGAACCTTTCGTACGTCCCTCACGTCACATGCCATTTCTTCTCGTTCCAATCTGATCCTCGCGATAGCGGTCAGCAAAGCCCGTCGCCTTCCTCGAAACCGCCAGCTGTAGCCTCGCCGACAACCACCGCCCCCATCCGCCCCTCGTTCCGCCCCGCCTGCTCCGCCTCCCCGTTTCTCCGCCTCTCCGCTCTTCGCCGCTCCGCCATGGTGGTGCGCGAGACGCCGCCACTGGAGCAGGTGCGGCGGCTGGGCGCGGAGCTGCTGGCGTCGCGGCAGCACGTCAACAACGCCGTGGCGCTGCTGCGACTCGCGGCGCACCGCGAGGCGGCGGTGGCGTCGGAGGCGGTGAGCGTGCTGCAGACGTTCTTCGCGCACCTGCTGCGCTCCGACGAGCTCGTTCTGCACCCCACCCCCGGTATAAACCCCAACCCCCTCATAAACCCCGAGCCCTGTGTCCGTCGCGGACGGGGCGATCCTGGAGCCACATTCCGCTACTGCCTGGGTGGCGGCGGGCGTGCGGCGAGTAGGCGGACGAGGCGCTGCCAGTCCGCCAGCTGCCACGCCGACTCTCCGCCGCCTGCCTCGCAGCTGACCCCACGTGCCCCACGCCCTACCCGCCTCCCACATGCCCCTCTCTCCCCCCTTCCTCGTGGTCCACGTGGCAGGCCAGCACGCAGCCAAGCGTGGCAGCGGGGCGAGCGGGGAGGAGGGGGAGGAGCGGGCGGCGGAGGAGGTGTACGCGCGGTGGGTGCGGGCGCGGTACGGCGAGTACACGGGCGCGCTCAAGAGCAGACTGAGGGACGCGGAGAGCAGCGAGGCCAGCAAGGTGGGGGGCGGGCATGGTGGGTGGATTTTTAGGCGCCTAAAACAGTGTGGATGGTGCAGTGGCAGTGTGGGAGGGGCATGTTGTGGGAGTGGCGGTAGGGGGGCACAGGAGGGGAGGAGGAGATTTGGAGGGGGATGAAGATGGTGGGAGGCGTGGGGATGCGTGACTGGCGGGCCACGTGATGAGCGGACGACTGTGCCGGCACAGCACCAAGGATGCCGTGCAATAGCAGCCTGCGCGTCTGTCCTCTCCCGCACTCGTGTGGCCATCACTCTACACGTCTGTGTGCGTGCTTTTGTGCGTGTTGCGTGTGTGTGTGCGTGTGTGTGTGTGTGTGTGTGTGTGTGTGTGTGCGTGCGTGCGTGCATGCGTGTGTGTGCGTGTGCGTGTGTGTGTGTGCACCCCCACCACCCAGCAGCGCATAGCGGTGGAGCATTTGATGGAGCTGGCACGGCTGGAGAAGAAGGGAACCATCGCTGGCGCCACCATCAACAAAATACTCATCCCCCTTGTGAGCCATGCCATGCCCCTTGTGAGCCATGCCATGCCCCTTGTGAGCCATGCCCCTTGTGAGCCATGCCATGCCCCTTGTGAGCCATGCCCCTTGTGAGCCATGCCCCTTGTGAGCCATGCCCCTTGTGAGCCATGCCCCTTGTGAGCCATGCCCCTTGTGAGCCATGCCCCTTGTGAGCCATGCCCCTTGTGAGCCATGCCCCTTGTGAGCCATGCCCCTTGTGAGCCATGCCCCTTGTGAGCCATGCCCCTTGTGAGCCATGCCCCTTGTGCGCCATGCCCCTTGTGAGCCATGCCCCTTGTGAGCCATGCCCCTTGTGAGCCATGCCCCTTGTGCGCCATGCCCCTTGTGAGCCATGCCCCTTGTGAGCCATGCCCCTTGTGAGCCATGCCCCTTGTGAGCCATGCCCCTTGTGCGCCATGCCCCTTGTGAGCCATGCCCCTTGTGAGCCATGCCCCTTGTGAGCCATGCCCCTTGTGAGCCATGCCCCTTGTGAGCCATGCCCCTTGTGAGCCATGCCCCTTGTGAGCCATGCCCCTTGTGAGCCATGCCCCTTGTGAGCCATGCCCCTTGTGAGCCATGCCCCTTGTGAGCCATGCCCCTTGTGCGCCATGCCCCTTGTGCGCCATGCCCCTTGTGAGCCATGCCCCTTGTGAGCCATGCCCCTTGTGCTCCCTTCCCCTCCTTCCCCCATTCCCACTCCCCCCCCCTTCAAGGTGGAGGGCGAGGCGTTGGATGCTTCAGTGCTCACCAAGCTCGCCTCCTTCTTCACCTATGCTGACGTCAGGTGGGAGCCATGACCTGTGCTGACGTCAAGTGGGAGGTGGTTGTGGTGTGACAGCGTGCTGACAACTTGTTCCCACCTACCCCCTGTCCAAGCTCTCAGCTCTCAGCCCCTCTCTTCCACGCCATCACGCCACCCACCACCGTCACGATTCACCATCATCGTCACGATTCACCATCATCGTCACTGTGACTGTCACCATTGGCCCCCCCTTTTCACCCCCCACCAGGCGGCATGTGTACAGTGCGGTGGAGCAGCTGTGCGCCTCCATGCCTGCTGCTCCCGGCAACGCCGCCGCCGCTGCTGCTGCTGCTGCTGCTGCTGGTGATGATGATGGTGATGGTGATGCAGGTACTGTGCAACCCCTAGTGCACGAGCTGCAACCCCTATTGCACTTCGCTTCTCGCCCTGCCTTTTAACGTGTGCTCCACAAGTCGTTGCTTCTGCCTTGGTAGAAACTTGCGTTTTGCTCACCAAGCGATTTTTGAGTCGACTCAAAAATCACCTGCTGACCAAGCGCTCATTCTTTCCCCTCTTATTCGCTCCCCCCCCACCACGTCTGCCTGCACTGTGCTGCCACGTGCCACGTGCTGCTGGGTGCTGCCCGCCTGCCTCCCTCGCATCCCCCCATCGTTGCTTCGTTCATTGCCCTCCAGGCGCTGCCAAGCGAGTGAGTATCCGCCCACATTCCCGTTCGCCCGGGTGTTTCGCGCTTTCATGGTGCTTCCGTGCATGTGTCAGTCAAGCCAAGTGTGTGTCAGTCATTATATGACACTCTTCCCTCACAGCACATGCTGTGCCATCCTTTTCCCAGTACATGTCTTTTCAACTTCAACTTCCCCTACCCTCCCCTCAACTCCTACACCAATGACAGGATGCCATGTGTCTCAACATTTTGGATGTGCTGCTAGCCATGCCCATGCCGCCCTCCCCCAAGCCGGGCGGCAAGCGGCTGCTGGCGATGGTGGGGCAGGGCGAGCAGGGCGAGGAGGACCCGCTGCTGGCCAACTGGGCGCTGCCTCGGGCCCCCACCAGTAGGTGCTGCTGCAGGCAGTGCGGCTCCTTTGCCGTGTTCTGTGGGGTCCCTTCCTAACTCCCAGTCTGACTTGCACTCACCCGTTTCTCATTCCGTGCAGCAGCAGGACGCGCAGCAGGGGCGGAGCAGCGCAGTGAAGGCGGCAAGCAGAGCATCGGAGGCAAGCGAGCGAGACAGGTGAGCGGGCTCTTGGTGCCGCCTTTCGGCCATGCACGTGACTGCCTTGCACGTGACTGCCATGCACGTGACTGCCATGCATGTGACTGCCATGCATGTGACTGCCATGCAAGTGACTGCCATGCACGTGACTGCCATGCACGTGACTGCCATGCACGTGACTGCCATGCACGTGACTGCCATGCACGTGACTGCCATGCACGTGACTGCCATGCACGTGACTGCCATGCACGTGACTGCCATGCACGTGACTGCCATGCACGTGACTGCCATGCACGTGACTGCCATGCACGTGACTGCCATGCACGTGACTGCCATGCACGTGACTGCCATGCACGTGACTGCCATGCATGTGACTGCCATGCACGTGACTGCCATGCACGTGACTGCCATGCACGTGACTGCCATGCACGTGACTGCCATGCACGTGACTGCCATGCACGTGACTGCCATGCATGTGACTGCCATGCACGTGACTGCCATGCACGTGACTGCCATGCACGTGACTGCCATGCACGTGACTGCCATGCACGTGACTGCCATGCACGTGACTGCCATGCACGTGACTGCCATGCACGTGACTGCCATGCACGTGACTGCCATGCACGTGACTGCCATGCACGTGACTGCCATGCACGTGACTGCCATGCATGTGACTGCCATGCACGTGACTGCCATGCATGTGACTGCCATGCACGTGACTGCCATGCACGTGACTGCCATGCATGTGACTGCCATGCACGTGACTGCCATGCACGTGACTGCCATGCACGTGACTGCCATGCACGTGACTGCCATGCACGTGACTGCCATGCACGTGACTGCCATGCACGTGACTGCCATGCACGTGTCTGCCATGCATGTGACTGCCATGCACGTGACTGCCATGCACGTGACTGCCATGCACGTGACTGCCATGCACGTGACTGCCATGCACGTGACTGCCATGCACGTGACTGCCATGTACGTGACTGCCATGCACGTGACTGCCATGCACGTGACTGCCATGCATGTGACTGCCATGCACGTGTCTGCCATGCACGTGACTGCCATGCATGTGACTGCCATGCACGTGACTGCCATGCACGTGGTGACTGCCATGCACGTGACTGCCATGCACGTGACTGCCATGCACGTGACTGCCATGCACGTGACTGCCATGCACGTGTCTGCCATGCGTGTGATTCATGCAGATCATGCATCATGCATTGTACAAATGCACTATGTATGCACCATGCACCATGCACCATGCAGGCACAGCAGCAGGGCAGCAGGAAGCGGGCGGCAGGTAGCAGAAGGGAGGAGGAAAGGGAGGACGCAAGGGAACAGGGGGGGGCGGAGGGGGAGGAGAGGCGGGCGGCGGTGGTAGGGAAGGAGCGCAGGGCGCTGGGCGGGGCGTGGCTGGGGCTGCTGGCGCTGCCGCTGCCGCGTGACGCCTTCAGGAAGGTCCGCCCCTCTTTCTCTTCCTCTCCCCAACCTCCCCCGCTCCTCTTTCTCTTCCTCTTTCTCTTCCTTTTTCTCTTCCTTTTTCTCTTCCTCTTTTTCTTTATCTCATCCTCCCTCTCCGCTTTGTCCACCCTGCTCGTCGTCCCCTGTCGGCCATGGCCCCCCTTTGCCCCCACCGCGCCACAGGTGGTGGGTGGCTTGCACACGCTCATCCCGCATCTGCCCAACCCGCTGCTGCTCAGGTGACCCCCCTACCCGCCTCTCCCACTGCATGCATCTCACTGCAACCATGCCAGTCCGCTTCTCGCCCTCGCCTCCTCTCTCCTCTCATGCCACACCTTTCTCTCCTCTCCCAACGCCCCTCACTTCCTCGAATCCTCGCCCTCTCTCTCACATACTTTCTCCATCCCCCATTCCCCGCTCATCCCCCATTGCCCACTCATTCCCCCCCCAGTGACTTCCTGACGGCGTGCTACAGCCAGGGCGGCGCGTGTGCGGTGGCAGCGCTGGCGGCGCTGTTTGAGCTCATGACGGAGCACCGCCTGGAGTACCCGCACTTCTACCCGCGCCTCTACTGCATGCTCGATGCGGGCATGTTCCGCGCCACTCACCGCGCCAAGTTCTTTGAGGTGCCCATGCTGTGCCACATGCCATGCCACATGTCATGCCACATGCCATGCCCCATGCCCCATGCCCCATGCTCCATGCCCCATGCCCCATGCCCCATGCCCCATGCCCCATGCCCCATGCCCCATGCCCCATGCCCCATGCCCCATGCCCCATGCCCCATGCCCCATGTTCCATGCCCCATGCCCCATGCCCCATGCCCCATGCCCCATGCCCCATGCCCCATGCCCCATCCCCATGCCCCATGCCCCATGCCCCATGCCCCATGCCCCATGCCCCATGCCCCGTGCCCCGTGCCCCATGCCCCGTGCCCCATGCCCCATGCCCCATGCCCCATGCCCCATGCCCCATGCCCCATGCCCCATGCCCCATGCCCCATGCCCCATGCTCCATGCCCCATGCCCCATGTTCCATGCCCCATGCCCCATGCCCCATGCCCCATGCCCCATGCCCCATGCCCCATGCCCATGCCCCATGCCCCATGCCCCATGCCCCATGCCCCATGCCCCATGCCCCATGCCCCATGCCCCATGCCCCATGCCCCATGCTCCATGCCCCATGCCCCATGCCCCATGCCCCATGCCCCATGCCCCATGCCCCATGCCCCATGCCCCATGCCCCATGCCCCGTGCCCTGTGCCCCATGCCCCATGCCCCATGCCCCATGCCCCATGCCCCATGCTCCATGCCCCATGCCCCATGTTCCATGCCCCATGCCCCATGCCCCATGCCCCATGCCCCATGCCCCATGCCCCATGCCCCATGCCCCATGCCCCATGCCCCATGCCCCATGCCCCATGCCCCATGCCCCATGCCCCATGCCCCATGCCCCATGCCCCATGCCCCATGCCCCATGCCCCATGCCCCATGCCCCGTGCCCCGTGCCCCATGCCCCGTGCCCCATGCCCCATGCCCCATGCCCCATGCCCCATGCCCCATGCCCCGTGCCCCGTGTCATCAATGGTGCCCCTGCGTCACCCACACTCACAGTCTCTTCACCGCAACCTTACTTCCCCCCCCCCCCCACAGCTGTTGGACCGCTGTCTGGCGTCGCCTCTCCTCCCTGCCTACATGGCGGCGGCGTTCACAAAGCGCCTCTTCCGCCTGTCCCTGAGCGCGCCGCCCTCCGGCGCGATCGTGGTGGTGGCGCTGGCCCACAACCTGCTGCGCCGCCACCCCGTCATCAACACCCTCGTGCACCGCACCGCGCCCCCAGAGGCATTCCATGTGAGGCGAGGCGCGCCGCCAAACACACCAGATAGTGGCGGGGACGGATGCCTCTTGCTCCTTGCTCCCATGCAGTGTGCCTTTGCCCCTTGTCCCTCTGTTGTAGATGTTGTTTTTTCTAATAGAATGTGCGACCATTTTTATTATTTCTAATGTAGAGCGTGCAGCTGTTAACGTTCTGTGTATGTGCCTGTGTGTGTGCTGTACCTGTGTGTGTGTGCTGTACCTGTGTTTGTGTGCTGTACCTGTGTGTGTGTGCTGTACCTGTGTGTGTGTGCTGTACCTGTGTTTGTGTGCTGTACCTGTGTTTGTGTGCTGTACCTGTGTTTGTGTGCATCCCTGAACCTGTCGCTTGCGGCCGTGGGCCCATCAGGATAGCAGCAGTGAGGATGAGGGCGAAGAGGAAGAGATGCACGGCGGGGAGAGAGGGAAGGCAGGGGAGGAGGGAGAGACGGGACAAGGGGAGAAGGCAGGGGATGGCAAAGGCGAGGAGAGCAACGATGGAAGAAAAGAGGGCTCTGCTGGGGAGGAGGGAGACGGGAGAAGAGATAGGCAGGGCGAAGGGGGAGGGGAGAGGGGAGATGCGGCGCAAGGGGCCGGGGTGGAGGGGAGCAGAGGAGGGTGGCGGGGAGGGAGGGATCCGTTTGATGAGGACGCGGCTGACCTCATGGCAGCTCGCGCTCTTGGTACGCTCATGGCTGCACGTGCATTTGGTACGCTCATGGCTGCACGTGCATTTGGTACGCTCATGGTCCCTCCTCGGACCATGGGATAGAGTGTGCAGCAGTGGGCCGTTGCACGCGCCGCACACACCATCGGGCACACACTTGCTGGCACCCTCTTTTGGCTTCGCCACAATCAAATCTCTGCCTCCCCCTTCTCCCCCCCTGCTGCCCTGCAGACAGCAGCGTGTGGGAGATCGAGGCCCTCCAGCGCCACTACTGCCCTGCTGTCTCGCGGTGCGTGCCTTGCAACCGCTTGCCCCTTTCTCCCCCTCCCACTGCCTTGCCTGGGCCCCCTGCATCCTTTGGCCAGCAGCACGTCGTCTTGTCAGCACCACGTTCTTGTGTCAATAGCGCACATGCTTTATTGCTCTCCCGCCCCTCTTCCCCCTTCCCCCCCCGCCCCCCTTCTTCCCCCAGGTTTGTGGCGTCGCTGGAGAAGGACCTGTCGGAGCGCAGCAGCACGGTGGAGGTGAACGTGGGGGACTTCTCCCACACCTCCTACGGCACCATCATGGCTGATGAAGTGCGCGCACGCACTGCACCATGTGGCGCACATGCCACTGCACAGAGGCAGCGTCCTTTCAGTTAATGTCATGGTACTGTAGAGGAGGCAAGAATTCTGTGTGCTTGAGCACCCTCTTTGAGGTGTCGTGACCCCTCACCCCACCTCCCCCCCCCCTAATCCTCCCCCTCCCCCCCCCAACCACCCCCCACCAGTTGGGTCGGCGGGTGAAGGCGGTGCCACTGGCCTTCTTTGAGCACACGCCCACCACTCTCTTCCCCGTTTCATCGCCTTCATCCAGTGGGCCTACCGCTCTATTGCAATCCAGTAGCTTCCCAGGGTGGAAGCTCTTTTAAGTGACATTTTCCATATGCTACAATTTGTTTCTGAAGATATTACCATTTTTTTACGTATGGCGTGTGCAATGGTCATGCTATTGGCATGTGTTGTTTGCAGCACACGTCAAATATTCAGCCTCATCCCAAATCTGAACCAGTGCATACGTAGTTGGGTAGGAGATCCAGGTTTAACGAACTCAGATGTTGGATTATGTAGAGGTTGAGAGTTACAAGCATGTAAAACGCGATATTGCAGACCCGATAATGGGCCTTGTTCTATGCCCCTCCGGGAAGCCACGTAGACTTTCAAAAATTCTTCCGTGGAACCAACTTACTCATGCCCCTACACGTCAGATCGTTGCAGGCTGTGCTGGAAGGAAGCAGTCCACATCACTTTTCGAGCGCGAAAGAGGTACGAGGTCTACCATGTGGTAAGTGCAGCTGGCAGTAATTCTACGCTGTGAAATCTCGGCCGTACGGCTCGTTACCGACACCATCGCATTTGATTTCAACGGTGTTGGAGGACCATGAAAGCAGAGACCGTCCACTCCAATCACCGACATGCGTCAGCTGGGAAGGATCACTGAATTGTGGGTTTCACCTCGTGTCGTGTGGTGGTATTTCGGTGACAGGTTTGAGGCCTGGGTGATTTACGTGCAAAGCCAAGCGTGCTGTTTTAGAAGTGAGAGTTTCTTCAGAAGTAAGAGCACCGCTAAGAGCATGGGTTACCGCCCTAAACACCAGCAAAGTTGGGCAGCCTGCCGTGTGCTGTTGAGCTGCCCACCGCTGCTTCATCCACGACCAGTATTTGAGGTTGCGCGTTGAATTGACAGGCAGCAGGGCAGGTAGGAAGGCGCGGCGCATCTGACAGCGCAGATTGGTCAACCTCTCCACCAACTCCAGCTCACAACGCGCGCAGCCCAGCCCAGGCATCTCGGTTCAGCGGGTCCTCGCCTCGTCATCCACAGCAATCTTTTTCCTACGAAAGAACCACCAGCCATCAGAGCGTGCAACTGCGCCCTCTTGCTCTCGGCCTATTCTTTCTTTTACGCTCATACCACGACCTCAACAAAAGCAGGCTAAGCTTTCAGTCGTTCGCCTCTGTTCACCCGAAATTATTTATCTCAGCCCAACACGATCCAACAAACACAATTGACAGCCGAACCTATGGCTCAGTCGCTAGTCCTGCGGCACACCGTCTCAGCCGTGCTCGCATCCTCGCCCTCCACCACGCAAAGACAACGGCCTGCCGTCAATCGCGCTCGTGCGGGCCTGTGCGCGTCGATCGGTGACTTCAGCGCGGCGCCGATCCCCGAGTCGCAAGTGGTGCCGCGGCTGTGCCACCTGGAGGACTTCCACGAGTCGTCGACGGGCGAGGCGGCGGTGCGGCCGGCGGAGCTGGCGGTGCGCGTGGTGGACGACGGGCACGGCAAGCGGCTGGCGGACCTGCTCATGGCCACCGTCGAGGCGTCCGCGCAGGTCGAGGACCTCGAAACCGTCGCCGGACGGGGCGCCATGGTGAGTAGGAAGAGTTAAATGCATCATTCTTCTGGGAAACGGCGGTTGTTGGTTACGGCGGGAATGTTTGGCTATGCAGTGCACTGAGCGCATCTTTCCCCCGCGACCGCCACCCTACCCCGCGACAGGTGGCGCTGGCGCTGGCCCTGCTGGTGGAGTTCGCGACAGGCAACGGCGTCTTCAGCGGCGTCGACCCCGCCGCGCTGCTCCCCGCGCTCTCGTTGGGCCTCGCCGCAGCAGTGGTGTCGGGGGCGTACGCCGTGGCGTGGCGCGCGAAGCGGCACGTGGCGGACATCTTGGCGCACGGCTGCTTGCACTGGATGGACGCCGCCGTCGACAACATCATCGACGGCGCCTTCTTCGACGCGCGCCCCAAAGCGCACCACGCGCCGCCGCGCCACAACTAGCCGCTTCACGAGCAAGCATGCAGCGCGCATGAGGGCTGCGCTCGTGAAGATCTATGGGCTCGTGAGATTAGTCTGATGCATAGTAACGTGAAGAAAGGCGGATGGACGAATGGCAGTGCGTGTGTGTGAGTGGCTTGTGTGTCCTCTGGAGGTCAGGACTCGGTTGTGTGTGCTACGGAGTGCTGCTGGTGCGGAGTGGGCAGGGTGCAGAGTGAGGCGGGGCGACATCCATGTGCGAGGCAGTAGCAGCAGCTGGGGCATGCGTGGCTGCGCTGCCAGTTGCGAAGCTCGCTGCGGCCATGCGTCTACATCGGGAGCAGTTGTCTCTGGCCATTGCCTCCCCTAACGACTAGCAGAGAAAGGCATAGCGGCAGGGGTAGACAGTGGTCCGCCTGGGGTGGTCGAGAGCACAGAAGAAGATCACCAGGTTTAGACAGAGGCAGAGGCAGCCTTGGCCACGGGACGAGCTCGTAGAGGAGCGAGCAACCAGCAGTGCAGCCTGCAGCTGGCGCCGTAGGTGACAGCTGGCACACCCTTGCTGCCTGCTTGCCCTGGGCGCTGCTGGGTTGGCTGTGGTCCTGGTGCGGGCTGAGGGGGCAGAGGCAGACTGGGCTCGCGGATGCACATGGGCTTGCTGTCGCTCCCGCTGCTCCTGCCGAAGCTCTGCCTGCACCTGCTGCCGTTGCCGTGCTGCCTGTTACTGACTGCTGTGGCACCTGCAGGTGCTGTACCCATTGCACACTCGGTCTTGGGTTGGTTTGAGCAAAAAGAGCCAAGTTTAGGCTACTGCTTGATCCCCACCATTCTTTGGGCTATGCCCTGCAAAGCCTGTAAGCTTTGTACTTGTGTACAGTGGAGTTTGAGAATTGCATTAGCTAAACCATAACCCCGAACGCAACACTTAGGCCCCTGGTATCAGCTAAGTGTTCAAATTATATAAGTTATAATTTATATAGGCTTGGTAGGTTGTTACTGAACCTTTCTGTAGGGGGTACAAACCCCTCCTTGTACTCCCCTCTCTTCTAATCCAACACCTTTTCTCTCCTCAACTTTCCTAGCACCTAAAACCTCTCGCCATTCTCATGGCTCCTCCTAGCTCCTAGCTAAACCTTGTGCCATTCTATGGCTTCCTAGCAGGCCCCTAGATTGCAGGAAAATTTTCCTGATTCAGGAAAAAAACAGACCCCGTTGGCGGGCCGGTCCTGATTGCGTAGGGTTTTTTTTGTTCGGCATCCTGTTTTTTCAGCGGTTTTTTTTTTTGTAGTGAACTCTGATCACTCCGCATGGTTTATGTAACGCGTCCTGAAATTTCTGACACTCTAATGCGTACGCGTCCTGATTTTGTCAATACCGGGATTTGCGCTCCCCGCTCTCCCCCCCCCCCCCCCCCCCCTTCCCCCCACGTGTTTCCCTCAAATCATGTCAAGGTCCCTGAAATTTCTGTCAAACATGTGTAGTTATCATGTTTGTATAGACTGTATAGGGTCACCTTCTAGAGAGTACAACATTTAGGTATATGTTTGTGTACTCTCTCTCTCACATTATTCAATTCTAGGTTTGATATGGTATCAGAGCCAAAGGTCTTGGGTTCAACTCCCAGTGCCAGCGCTGCAGAGGCGCTTGTGTCTTCCACCTATCCCAGCGGGGGGGGGGGGTGTTGAGTGACCCGCTGGGGTTGACCTTGAGATCCTCGGGGAAGGGCCACAGGTGCAGAGCCTGGGGGGCTATGGGCGCACTTACCCGCTATTCAACAAGCCCTTTTAACCCAGTGGTTAGTGACTGGGTTTCTGATATGGTATCACGAGTAGGTTTCGACCCCCCCCCCCCCCCCCCCCCCACCTATCGCTTCCGCTCCTCCCGTCGCGCCCCCTAGCGCCCCTCCTGGGCCCCGTAGCGCCCCTCCTGGGCCCAGTAGCGCCCCTCCAGGGCCCCGTCGCGCCCCTTAGCGCCCCTCCTGGGCCCCGTCGCGCTCCTCACAGGCCCCGACGCGCCCCGTCGCGCCCCGTAGCGCCCCTCCTGGGCTTCGTAGCGCCCCTCCTGGGCTTCGTAACGCCCCTCCCAGGCCCCGTCGCGCCCCTCCTGGGTTCCGTAGCGCCCCTACTGGGACCCGTCGCGCCCTCCCTGGGCCCTGTAGCGCCCCTCCTGGGCCCCGTCGTGCCCCTCCCAGGCCCCGTCGCGCCCCTCCTAGGCCCGTAGTGCCCCTCCTGGGCCCGTAGCGCCCCTCCTGGGCCCCCCCATTGCGCCCCTCCTGGGCCCCGCCGCGCCCCTCCTGGGCCCCCATTGCGCCCCTCCTGGGCCCGTAGCGCCCCTCCTGGGCCTGTTGCGCCCCTCCTGGGCCCTGCCGCGCTCCTCCCTGGGCCCCGTATCCACCCTCCTGGGCCCCGTCGCCCCTGCTCGGCCCCGTCGCCCCAGCTCGGCCCTGTCGCGGCCTCTCGGCCCCGTGGCGCCCGCCCTGCCCCTGTCGCAGCTGCCCGGCCCCTGTCGCACCTGCCCGGCCCCGTCGCGCCCGCCCGGCCCCGTCGCCCCCGCCCGGCCCTGCTGTGTCCTGCCCGGCCCCGTCGCTGCCGCCCGGCCCTGTCGCTGCCGCACGGCCTCGTAGCTGCCGCCCGGCCCTGTCGCTGCCGCCCGGCCTCGTAGCTGCCGCCCGGCCTTGTCGCTGCCGCCCGGCCCCGTCGCAGCCGCCCGGCCCCGTCGCAGCCGCCTGGCCCCGTCGCGCCTGCCCGGCCCCGTCGCGCCTGCCCGGCCTCGACGTGCCTGCCCGGCCCCGTCGCGCCTGCCCGGCCCCGTCGCGCCTGCCCCGGCCCTCCATACTTCCTGGTACTGTCCCCCGTTCCCCGCACCACTTTGCACCCTCCTGCACTTTCCTGCCCCGCCTTGCACCGCATTGCACCTCACTGAACCGCACTGACCGCACTGCACCGCACTGAACCGCACTGCACCGCACTGCATCGCCCTGCACCGCACTGGACCGCACTGCACCGCCCTGCACCGCACTGCACAGCACTACACCGCACTCCACTGTCCTCCACTGCCCCTCATGGCTGCTGAGCTTCGTTTTGATGCTGAGGGTCAGCCTCTGGAGTTCGAGGCGTGGTTGGCTGACCTTCGCCGCCACCTCACTGGTCAGCGGCAGGACGGCCACCCGCTTTCTGCACACCTAGACGGTATGCTCCCCTGCCCTGACCCCCCTGCTGTGCTGCCTGCTGATCCCACGCCCGCTGAGCGCGAGTCCACTGCCGCCGCTGCCCTTGCCCGCTCTGTCTGGCTTTCCCGCGATGCCCTTGCTCAGCTCGCCATTAGCAATGCCCTCCCCCCCCTTGAGCGCCCTCGCTTTAGAACCATTACTACCGCCCAGGCCTACCTCGATGCTGTCATCAAGCGCTATTCTACCCCTCCTGCTGCCTCAGTGGGTCGCCTGATCCTCCCCCTGCTCTTTCCTGACCTGGCGTCCTTCCCCACTGTCTCTGACCTCGCTGCCCACCTGCGCTCGATAGATGAGGCCTGGCGCGCTGCCTGCACTGATGCACAGCTTAGAGTCCACCAGCCTCCCATGACCTCTACCCTCTACCTCCTTGCCACCCGCCTCCCTGACCGCCTTGCCGCCGCCCGCGACCAGTTCCTTAGCATCCACCCTGCTGCTCTCACCCTCACCGACTTTGTTGACACCCTGACTGCCATAGAGACTCGTCACCGCTCCATTGCCCAGGCGAGCGGTACCGTACCGGTCCCTATCTTTCAGGGTTGTGCCCCCGCTCAGTGTACCTTCTCCGACGGCTCTGTCGCTGTGGCTGAGACTGCTGCTGCAGTGCAGTCCCGCTCGGGGAAGGGCCGCCGCCCCAAGGTTGGGAGCGGCGGAGGTGGCGGGGGTGCGGGTGGGGGTAGTGGTGGAGGCGGGTCGTCCGGTGCCGGTGCGGACGTGGGGACCCTGCCCGGTCCAGCTGCCCCACTGCCTCCACCGTTGCAGCAGCCGCAGCAGCAGCAGCCTCCGCAGCAGCCGCCGCAGACGAGGCCGGCGAGTGCTCTCCCGCCTGGGTGGCCTGGAGCTGGTGGTGGTCGTGCGCGTGGTGGTGCACCGGGTGGTGGTTCTGGAGGCGGGCCCTGTCAGTACCAGATCCAGACCGGTCCTCGCCGCGGCTTCGTTTGCGGTAAGATCGGTCATTCCACTCCTCGCTGTTTTCGTCGTCTGGACGACCTGTTCCGCCAGCGCTTTGGCCCGGCGCCCGACCTCCCGGACTGGCACAGCTTGCTTAGGCGTAGCATTCGGATTGTTGACTTGGACATGGATGCCATTGTAGCAGCCTTGCATGTGATGTATGCCGATGAATCTAGTGTGCTTCCCTCTTATTACCCCGTGTTGCCTAGTGTAGCTGTGCCTAGCGTAGACTCCCCTGCTGCGTCAGGCGTAGGATCTCCTGCTTTGCTTAGCCTCGGTGCTTCCACCGCTTCACTGTCGCCCCGCGCGACTGCTGCGCTTTCCTTCACCTTGGACTCTGGCGCCTCCCGGTGTTTCTTCCGCGACTCCACGACGCTGACGCCGCTGCCTGTTCCCGCTGCAGTTACTCTTGCTGACCCCTCCGGTGGTCCCGTCGTTGCCCGCAGTTCCACCTCTCTTCCCTGTCCGGCGGTTCCTTCAGGTTCGCTCACCGGTCTGCATATCCCCTCGTTCTCCAGGAACCTAGTTGGTGTCGGCTGCCTCCAGGACCTTGGCGTCACCACTACGTTCCCTGGTCACGAGCGGTATGCTGTCTGTACCGAGGCCGCCACTGGTGCCCCCCTTACCACTTTCCCCCGGGACCCGGTGTCCGGCCTGTTCACACTTGACACCGCGACGTCCCCGGCTGGGTCTTCCCCCCAGGTAGCTGCGTCCACCCAGGTTGCTGCTGCGTGCTCCTGTCGGTCCCTCACTCATCCGACTCTCCTTTGGCACCACCGCCTTGGTCACCCTGCACTCCCGCGTCTGCGTCACATGTCCCAGCACGGTCTCGTCCTTGGTCTCCCCGGTTCGTTCCCTGAGTTTCCCTCATCCCCCGCCCCACCGTGCACGCCTTGTGTCGAGGGCCGGCTCCGCCGTGCCCCTCACTCCTCCTCTTTTCCCCCTACCACCGCACCCCTGCAGACTCTGCACATGGACGTCTGGGGCCCAGCCCCGGTCCATGGGCCGCGTCGCGAGCGCTTCTTCCTAATGCTTGTCGACGACTTCACACGTTACACCACCGTCTTTCCCCTGGAGCGGAAGGCCGACGTGCCTGACGTTCTCATCCCCTGGCTTGTCTCTGCTCGTCTCCACCGCGGTCTCCCTGCCTTGCGCCTCCACTCCGACCGAGGTGGCGAGTTCGCCTCAGGTGTCCTTGGTCGCTTCTGTCGTGCGGAGGGCATCACCCAGACGTTTACCCTGCCGGACTCCCCGCAGCAGAATGGGGTCGCTGAGCGACGCATCGGTTTGGTCATGGAGGTGGCTCGCACCTCCATGATCCACGCCGGTGCACCCCATTTTCTGTGGCCGTTCGCCGTGCGCTACGCCGCTCACCAGCTTAACCTGTGGCCGCACCCCCAGCGGCCGCAGGTTTCGCCGACCCTTCTGTGGACCGGGTCCCCTGGTGACGCGTCTGCGTTCCACGTCTGGGGCTGCCTTGCTCACGTTCGTGCCTCTGGCACGGACAAGCTCACTGCCCGCACCCTCCCCTGCGTCTTCCTCGGTTTCCCCCTTGACGCGTCCGACTGGCACTTCTACCACCCGCCGTCTCACCGTTTCTTTCACTCTCGCGACGTCACCTTTGACGAGTCCGTCTCCTTCTTCCGCCGCTTTCCCCACCGTGGTCCCCCGGTTACTCCCCCCCTGTTCCTGGTTCCTCCCTCCCTGGTGGCCCCTGCCCCTCCCCCCCCCCGCCCCCCCGTCCGGCCCCCTCTGGTGTGTCTCACGTCACCCCCCTCCCGTCGGTCGTTCCGGTCGACGAGTCTTCTGACTCTGGTAGTCCTTTGGCGCAGTCCTCGCCGTCTGTCCCTCCCCCGGTGTCTCCTCCTCCACCG